CAGATTTGCAACATTTTTTTTGAAACAGATTTGCAACATTTCACCTGATCTCAACTGCTGCCAACCTTCGGATTTGAAATGGAAGAATCAGTTCCAAACATGCTGGATACAGCGAGCGCCTAAGCTAGCGCACATGCTGAATTTATGCATACCGGAGGAGGTAGCACACTCTCGCTCCGCCCCCGCCCTCGGGAAAGAGAAAAGAAAAAAAAAACAGCGACAACCGTTTCCTTAGCCGTATCCAGCCCGCAAGCGGCCGGCGCCGCAAGCCGTTTCCGATTTCCGCACGCCTTCCACCCCTCCCTACTTCCCTGCTGCCTCCAGGGGACCAGCTGCCCCGCACGACGCGAACGCGACGTCGGTGACGGTGATTTTCAATTGCTTCCTCGACGTGGGGGTTGATGCTGACGCGGGGACGGCGTCCCGAGTGAGCTGAGCCCCCACAGGCCCAGGCAGGCAAACCACCCCCAGCCGATGAGCTGCGACGGGAGGGACGGCCTGATTTTTAATTATTTTTTCCTCCGCGGCCGCCGTCCTGCCTGCGCTTGCTTGATTGCCGGCGGCCGCCGTTTTAGCTTCCGTGCAGCGGGGGTTTTTTTGGGCGCCGGCTGTTGTTAGCTAGCGAGCTCCAGCTAACCGCTGCGCTCAACTTGTGCTCTGTAAAGGATAGGAGGGTAACAGTCGTGTCGTGTCGTGTTGACGTCTCGATGACGACATGTTTTGTTTTTTTAAAAGGAAAAATACTATTTTGTGGTCCGTTGTAAATTATTAGTGGCTCTGGATTCGTCCGTGCATTCTGGAGATCCCCTGCTCGGAAGCGTGTGGACGGGATATTTTGGCTTCAGGTGCTCGTGAGCATGGGGGAAGATTGAAATTCTCCTCTCTCTTTTTTTGAACTGGGGAAGATTGAAATTCGAAACATGCTTTGTTATAGGTTCGCAAAGGAAGAAATAGAGACGTTTTTAAGAGCGGGTCGGGTTGTTTTGGCTTTATGCGAGCTGTTGTGTTTTGAACTTTTGATCCGACGCCATAAGTAAGCAAATCTCGAATGATTTTTCCCCAACATAGTTCAAGTGCAAGGCACAATCTTTTATATATGAAACCTGCGCCCAAATCGTGGCCAGCCAGCGTGGCACATCACGGGCTTTTCGCGTTTTCGCGGCCGTTCGATCGGGCACGCGGACGCCCCAGATCAGCCCTTTATATTTTTCGGAAATCAACCCGCGCTCTAGAGGCCCTCTCATAATATTTTGCAAAAAACACCTCAGATTATTTCCAAATCAACCCGTAGTCCAGAACTGATGGGCTTCGGGTTTTTTTCTAAAAAAAACCTTCACTTTATCGAAAATCAACCCGCGCTCCAGAGACACTCTCAGCAATTTTTGCGAAAACCTCCTCAGATTTTTCTCAAATCAAAATACAGGCCACCTTCGATTATATCTCTTTTTTCAACAAATAAATTAGCTGGAACTTTAAAATTGCATAGTAAATCACAGAAAAATTGTAAATTAGAAAATCAAGTTGATCTGAAATCCTAACGAGTACAACTATGCAGTGCATCCATAATATCACATGTTTTAGTAAGGATTTTTCCATATAAACTTTTACCTATGCTTTTTAGAGGCAAATAAAATTATACCTTCATGATGATACAGTCTCAAAAATACATAAAAATCATAAAATGACTAAAAAAAATTACTGAGTTTCTCATCACTACACTTATATTCTTATTGCCACTGGTCTAATCGAAAGGGAAGACGCGGCAAATCCACGCCCGCGTTTCTAGCTTTCATGAATGCCGTTACACGTCCATCCAAGGCACTAAAGACACTTCCATCTGAATTGCCTGTCATCCCATACCGTTAGATTGCGAACTGACAGTTTTATGTGAAGACCGCTGCTCGTTAGCCGTTGGGTGCAGAAAGTCAAGCGTCAAGGGCATGCTCTGTTTTCCTATTCCCAACTCGCTCTGTTTCATTGCCACAAGCAGTAACCACTAACCACTACCATTACGGTCCCAAAAGTTGGGATCGGCAGCCAAGAGAGAGAAAGAAATGCAAAATTCGAACTACAAACTACAACGGCTTCAGTTCTAGTAGCTCCACAGTGCCATATCGCCGGCGTTGGCGTAGCCGTCGTCGCCGAACGCCGGGACCGCGGACGGTGGCTCCATGAGCATCGCCTGCGCCATGCTCGCGTAGTACAAGTCCAAGCTCCATGAGCATCGCCTGCGCCATGCTTATCTATGTTGACGGCATTATAGTGACAGAATCATCACAAGAAGCCATAGCAGCATTATTGCAGGATTTGAAATCAAATTTTGCAATGAAAGATTTAGGTGAGCTAAATTTCTTTCTCGGGATTGAAGTAAAGAAGGATGGAAGTGACATAGTGTTATCACAAGAGAAGTATGCCTCAGATATACTCAAGCGTGTTGCCATCAGCAACTGCAAACCTAGCACTACACCTCTGGCTGCTACTGAGAAGTTGTCAAGATTTGAGGGAGAAGCTCTAAGTGAAGATGACTCCACCAAATATAGAAGTGTGGTAGGTGGATTACAATACCTTACTCTCACACGCCCGGACTTAGCATTCTCAGTAAACAAGGCATGCTAATTCCTTTATGCTCCAACCAAAATACACTGGACGGCAGTTAAGAGAATTCTTCGGTATATCAAATATACATTGAAGTTGGGAATGACAATTCAGCGATCTAGCTCCACTCTAGTGAGCGCCCGTCTTCCATGCAAGAGCAAAACATATTGAAATTGATTTTCACTATGTGTGAGAGAGAGAAAGAGTTGTACATAAATTGTTGCAGGTACGGTTTATACCATCCAAGGATCAGCTTGCCGATGGATTTACCAAAGCTTTGGATACATGAGCATTTGAGGATTTCAGACACAATCTGAACTCGAAGATCAAGATAAGTTAGATTGAGGGAGGCTGTTAGAGATATAGATATGTTGTTTGTGTATTCAAATAGGAGTTATAGAGTACCTTAGAGATAAGTTCTAGAGATAGATTCTTTGTAAACTTGTATATCAAGTCTTGTAAGAGAACTCCATCTTGTATACGCTACGCTAGGGTTTTTTTCTAGCTATATAAACATGCAACCGTGGATGCCAGGAGGCTAACCACGTTACCCTCAAATCCTACACGCTGGCCATGCGCCCCGTACGCACGGCGGCCAATCGATCGATCTCGATCAAGGCACCCCAGCTATGATGCTCTCTGCTGCTTGCGCGATCCCGCTCGTCGTCCAGTTGCCGTTTGGGGGCGGTCAAGAGGGGGCCGCGAGGCGCGCGGTCGACGACGGCGACCACGCGGGACGGGACAGTTCGCGCCCGCTGCAGCAGCGACGCGCAAACGGGCAGCCTGGGCTTACCCGTCCAAAGTTGAGTCTGATTGGTTGATTAGATTATGGAAGCCGTTCAAAGTTGTGGGATTCCGGGCAGGTCCAGTTGCTGCTGCTGCTGACGGTCCTGGCAACGGGGAGGAAGAATACTTTGCAAGTAATCTGAACCCTGATTTTCTATGCTGCCGGTGCTAATCTGGTGGGAGCCAGCTGCAACTGGAAGGTATCCTAACACTAGCAGTCCGTATTTCTTTAAGGAAAGCTTTGGCTTTTCTTTATTCGGCTCCTTGAACCAAGGTTACCTCTCCAACACTATTGGCTACAAGATTTTAATACTTTCCAATTGGTGACTGGTAAACACCAGAATTTTAATCACACCAATTGTGCCGTGGCGAATATCTTTTTGGTCCATCTGACATCCTCTGTGGGCACCACCCAAGCTCCAACCACACTTTCACTTTGCATTTGTAATAGGTATATGCTAGTGTTTTATAAAGGAATAACACGTTCTGATGCCCTGGAGTGTCACTGCAAAAACGTGCACTTCAGAGTTGGGGAACTGCGACCGAAACAATCACCGCAAGCATGAGCTGTGATAAGCGATGTTACAGCTGTGTTTGATCGACTTTGTGATTTATGTACTGCCAATTGAGCGAACGTGATGTCATTCTCACGCTACACATCAAGTGCGCACAAACAATGAACAACAGGCCATTTCAGGAAAGCGATGTGCATGTATGATTGATCCCCCTTTCTTATCACAATTGTGAGCAAGTTCTTTTTTTCCCGTCCGGAGGAAATTCAGTAGGGCGCTGAAGAGTTTACAGCGCAGACTGGTTAATGACTCACAACAGAAATGTTCACGGTTTTTAGTATCACTGCAAGAATTCTAGTAGTCTTCAAGTATGCTCTGTCAAGTGTCAACAGTTGACGTGCCGTTGCAGTTTGGATGTGCCATCAGTGCTGAAGAGTACGAGTGTTCAGATTGACTGTCAAGCGTCAAAGAATCCTGGTAAAGCAAAGGCCTGTATCCGTTGAACAGGCAGCCGGATCCCTCGCTTGTGGCCTCAGCGCCTTGGGGGTTTTGACCAAACAGGGCCTTGCAATTCTGAAATACCGGCCGGTGAGGCGCTGACTAGCTCCTTGCCTGATTGCCTCCTCTGAAGTCAGGATCTTCTCTATTTTCCTGTTGAGAAAGTCAAAAATTTTAAGGTCAGACTTTTTCCCAAGGCGTTTCTTGGTGGTGCTGGAGAAAATAGAAATGCACCGCTAGGATGCAGATGGCAACGGTGATGGCCATGGGAAGCAGGAGGACCCATCAGGGCGACAGGCAGAGTGTGAGATGACGGTCGCTTCAAGGGGGATGAATTGTCATCCAAACCGTTACCGGTTACCTTGCCAACTTCAAAGTCAACCACTATTAAAACTGACGAGATAAGTTCAGTGTCAACCACTATCATAAGCTCTAAATTCGAATATTTTTTGCAAGCTTTAGAAAGTCAATGGGGGCATCCTCTGTTTTCCCAATTTGCTCTGTCTGATTACCGGTAGTAGTAGTAAACTAGTAACCTTTACAATACCATAAATAGGCATCGGACGCAAAGAGAGAAAAGGCAAAACACTGAAGTAGAGTAGAGTATTCCTAGTAGCTCCAGAGTGGCACTTCGGCAACGGCGTCGTCGCAGAACGCGGTGATTGTGGACGGTGGCTCCATGAGCATCGCCTGCGCCAAGCTCGCGTAGTACAAGTCCCAACTCATGCCACCGAACACGTCCAGTTCGAACGGCGAGTCCTCGGTGGCCGAAGAGGCTTCCTCGGCGTCGTCGTCGTTGGCGGGAGAGGACGGCGTCGACGACGTGGCCGAGCGAGCGTCCTCCTCCTCCGGGAGCGCCTCGCGGCGCTGGAAGTCCTCCACGGCCTCGGCGACCGCGTGTCGGACGTCGGCGAGGCTAGCGTAGGAGGCAGGGACCGCGAGGAGCCAGGCCGAGTCGGTGAAGTTGAGGCAGGTGCCCACGCCGACGATGGCGAGCATGGCGGCATCGTGCGCGCGAGCCGCGGCCTCGGCGGTGTCGAATGTGCCGAGCCAGAGCCTGCAGCCGCGGCGACCGGGCACGCGCACCTCGCACACCCACCGCCCGGCGTTGCCCCGACGCCGGACGCCGCGGAACACGGGGTGCCGCGTCTCCCGGAACTTGGTCCGCCCCGCCGGCCGCTTCGGCAGCGACGTCCACACCGTCTGGTGGTGCTCCGGCGAGGTGGAGGCCGATGGCGAGCCAGACTCGGCGCTCATCTCCTTCTTGATCTGGCACATCTTCTTATCAGGTGTCGATTGCTTCGCTTCAAGGTGTTGATCTGCGTTGCTGCTGCTTGAATGGCGTTTCGAGTGGTGGATTTGGGATGCGAATGGTGGATTTGCAGGCGCATATTTATAGGTGGTGGCTGGCTGTGCCTGGAGCAGAGTACAAAGCGCGGGAAACAGAGCAAGGGCGATGCATCTGGCTGAAGGCCGGGGAAGCAACTTAGCAACTAGGCAACAGGGTGGCCCTGAGAGTGACCTGATTTCCCTTTTTAATGCCAACTTGCAACCACAAGACTGCTTTTGCTTCCGTTGCCGGTCTCTGTCTCCGGTTACCAGCAGCGGTTTGTGGCGATGTCAAATGCCATTTGTGGATGGCAAAAGCTTTTCCGAAATTTTATTAGAGGGAGAAAAAACGAGTAGAACAAAAATACCCAAAAAAGCGAAAAACAAAGAGCGGTGCCTGGGGCACCCAACTGGACACGCCTAAAACCTGTACAAGAACAACTACTCTAGGTTGCTGATGAGGTAAACAAATGTTCTTTTGGGGCAAAAAGAAATCATTGCAGCTTGCAATTTGGGCCGTTGGTACATTCACGGTAGGAACTCGTGTTGTCAGGGGGCTCAGGTTGTTATCCAGATGGTCAATGATCAGCTCATCAAATTGATGGTCTCAACTACGTGAGATTTAACCTCTAAGATAGTGTTTGGTTCATGCTAAGGTAACGTAAATGTAAAGGGAATCAGATTACAGTGTATTTGGTGGTGAAATGGGTGATTACCCTCTTTGTTTGGTTGCACTCTGGTAACGTAATCAGATTACGGTGTGGGTGCTATATCTGATTACGGTGGGGGAGGAGGGGCAACAAGCTTGTATAGATATTATTTAGGTAAGGGATTCGATTACAGTGTCAATGTGTCAATTGATTACAAACCACCACAAACAAACATATGTAACGGGATTCGTTACCTTCACAGTAATCAGATTACGTTACATTTGAGCCAACCAAACACCACCTAAGAGTGAAGAAAAACCCGAACTGGTGGTGCTAGTCACATTCAGCATCTCTGTACAAGTGGACTACCTTTTCCTTTTGGGACAATGATCTACTACAAATAGGGAACCCTTAATATAAAAAGTGAACGAACAATGATTTCCTCATAATTCTAACTTACACTTTGGAAGTTTAACTTTGGTTTCAAAATTCCAACCTTTCACCTTATATTTCAATATTTATGTTCTTTTAGGTTGTTTTAATGATCACTCAAAAAAGTATCGGAAATTTCAGTCCACAATATTATTTTGTCCCTTTTTCCTCGGAAGATCCATTTAGGACCGGTTGTACAGGGCACACCACCAGGCAGTAGAATAAAAATAATATTTTGTCTCCGCACTGTGTAGTTGAAGCATTAGTTATTTCATGTTTTAGATTAGACATGAGAAAGTAATTGTGGAGGGACACGGGTGATATCCAGAAAAATAAAGAGAAGTTGAAGTTGGCCATATAATTGAGTTGTTAATCAAGACCCCTAAAATCACTGGGACGCGATGTAGAGGTGGTGGTCACCGGAATACATAATTAGGGCGTCATGTGTTGTGAACAAACTAATGAAAAATCATGTAAGCATGATGGAATTGTTGGAAACCTAGTGCATATGACTTGAGCACATGAATGCGTAGATATACTAAAAATAACTATTCCGAGGGAGAGCCGAGAAAAATGTGGAAAAGAAGCGTAGCATGTTTGGAAAAAAGTAGAAGAGACTCATTTGGGATGCTACAAATCGTACTATTACTAATTGGAGAGTCATTTTGAAGCCTCCAGGTGAAGCCACCTAGAATCTTAGGTGGACAATCTAGAAAAAGAGAGAAATCCTAGAAATTCTCACAAAAAAAAACAAAACATCTGGCCATCAATAAATAGACTCAAATCATCATAGCCATTGGATATATTATGTTTTCTAAAAATTTACCCACCTATGCCTATGAAAATAGCCTAGAGTAACCCCTAAATCTATATCTAAATTACCCACCTTTGCCATTATATAAAATAAGCTAAAGTAACCCCTAATCTTTATCAAAATTACCCACTTATGCCATTATAAACAATATTTAAAATAACCCCCTAAATTTTCAACTACATTGCCCACCACTAATACTTAAAAATAACTTAAAGTAACCCCTTAAATTTGCATCTATATTACCAATATATGCTATTATTAAAAATAACATGAGGTAATCCTACATTTGAATACAAATCACCTTAGTTACAAATATACACCAACATATGGTTCTAAATCGTAAGACTATTTGTATTTGTATATGATATAATAGTTAAGGTATATACGCATGATGCGTGTCACTATTAATAAGATATAGAGGAAGTGATGAGAGTATGTTAAAACAATAGCTCAAACTTAAGATCCATTAAACAACTTTAAGCGCATAACTGCGATGCAAAATAAAAAGTTAAAGATGTAGATGAAAACGTTATAGAGAGTAATTACTAACTAAAATCTATCACAATGGATGAACATAATAAGTATATATCTATATAAAAATTATGTTTGAATATTTAACAAATGAGAGGTAGCTCAAAGTAATAATTTTGGAGCAATGCGGCCTCATTTTTTTTCAATTGGAGACTCTGCATTAGTTCTCACGAGACACGTTAGAAAAAAAAAGATAAATCCTAAAAATTCTCATCAAAATTAGAAATATCAAACATCAATCCTGTAAACTCTAATAACCATAGTCATTGGTCTATTACATTTTCTAAAAAGTTATCCACAACTATCACTATGAAAATAAAAAAATAAAAGGGACAATTTTGATTGTTAACTAGGAGTTAAATTTCTAGATAATTTTCAAATACAATACCTTTTAAAAACATTAGCCCGGGCTTAGTATTACTCAAGTGGCAATGTAAAAGGATCATAGTCCTGTGCCCAAAATGGCATCCTTGTGCTGTGTATATACAGTTGAGCTAGGCAATCACTTGGGTGATCAAGGAACGGAAGGGAAGTCTTTGATGTTTGATGACACCAACTCCCTAAAATCCAGCGGATGCCTCGCGATCCATCCCAGGCGACGGCGACATGGCTGAGCCGCAAAACCATGACCAAGTCTCCACTCCAATTCCCACTTGTGGCGGGCAACCGGACAAAAAACAACTTTTTGGGGCGTCCGGCTCAATCAGTCCCCCCTGCCCAAGTTGCTGGAGTTGCTTCCCCCCCTCGCCGCACCGTCGCGCTCGACACCCAAAAGGCGACGGCTCTCGTCGTCCCGTGCGCGTCCGCTCACGCCCCGCGCTGGCTGTCGTGAACCCAGCTGTTGGCCTGTTGCTGTACCCTCTGCTGCTTGCTTGCTTCCTTCCGCTCGTGGTGCTGGGGAGCCCAGTATTTTACCACCACCAACACTCCACTTGCCGGCAGCGATGGCGACGTCGCTCCCACACGCACACGCACACGCACACGCACAAACCGGCCGGCCTGGGCTCAGCTTGCTTATCCGCCCGCTGCCTTTGGGACGGCTCGATTAAAAATATCGGCAAGGGGCAAGCCGTTCGCGGCTGGGTTTCTCCGTTTCTTTGGTCAGGTGCGGCGGATGCTGACGGTCCTGGAAGATGGGGACGGATGCTATGCGTGCGATTTTTTTAAAACAACGGATGCGCGCTAACCCTGATCTCGTGGGAACCAGCTGCAAGTGACAAAAGGGGGGCGGTATCTTAGTACTAAGCCCGTATTTGTTTTTTCAGGTAAAGCCTAAAGTATTGTTCTTTGCTGGGTTCTTTGAACGATCTTTCGGTCGGGCTTGGTTTGTTTAATCACGAGTTGCTGATAGGTACTAGGAGCGATTTTGTCTGCTAAAGCACACCAGTTTCCCTCTGGCTGCTGATACCCTTTCTGATGGCTACACATCAAATTGAACGAACCTCCTGCTCTGGCCTGGTATCACTGTCAGTTTGGCATACTGCGCATCTGCACAAAAATGAACAGTGTTCAGATGATATGATTCATCCCCTCCTTACAAAGAACCCAGGGAAAATTCAGTTGGGCGCGCATGAGGAGTTTGCAGCAAACTGATCTGATCAGGTAATCTGCAGAATAAAAAAAATCTTATATCAGGTAGTATCAACTGCCAAGGGTACTGTAATCCACACCTTGCTCAACAACCGGCCTGCATGCATGTTCACGGTTGCGTCATCTCACCAATCGTTGCATATCAACAAGTGGGCTGACTCAACTTGGCACGTTTCATATGCCACTGTTTCTTTCAAGTTTACTTGGTCAATAGCGGACCTGCCGTTGCCGTTTCTGCGTAGCATAATGATGACATACGGGTGTTCAAACAGACTGTCAACGAGGCAAACCGGGAACGCGCAGGGTCGCGCCCCCTGTTTAGATTGAACGAGCATGACGCTTCTGATCGGTTGACTCACTTGTGGCCTTTATGCTAACGAAGTAACGCACGCCTTTGGCTGACCTAAAGCCTTTTCAAGTTGCAATTCAACGCCTGAATTAATATCTATAACTCCTCCAAAAGTCAACATTTTCTCGGCCAGACTCTGTTTGCTTGCCCACATGCACGGTGCACCGTAGGATGCAGATGTCAACGGCGATGACTTTTTTCGGATGTCAACAGCGGTGGCTTCGGATTGGCACAGACCATGCATGCGTCGGTTCTGGATGCTGATCAGAGCATTTCAGGCTTTCGGCGCGGCCACAGGTGACCGGAATATATCGAACAGGCAGACCCATCTGCGTCGACGAGAACGTGGAACCTATGACCTATCCGACCCATCGAACCGATCCTAAGTTTGAAAAATGGGTCTGTCTAGCGATTGATTTTTTACAATCTGTCAATCACTTTTTTTTTAACCGTGGATGCTAGATCCAACGGCTGGGTGGGGGGAGGGCAGCTATTCTTTTTGTTGTACTCATCAGAATTGATTGAGATTTACTTTCTTCTCAATCACTTTTTCAGAACAGGACCTGTGGACCCGTTAAGCAAA